GTGAAAATGACACGTTTTCAGTGTAAATGGCTATTTGTTATATTAAATCATAACCAATCAAAATCATCGATTGTAGTAAGATCTAGTTTAACATGTATAGAGTAACAAATCAAGATTAATATTATTACATACATACGCAGGCAGCGAAAACGGAAAGTTCCGCACAACAGGGGTGTGAGCCGGGGCTAAACCATAGATCTATAATAACAACACATTATAGATCTATGGGCTAAACTACTGTGAACGACTCTTTAAATCTAATCTCTCTCTAGTTTCAGTCCACAGAGTGACAATAATGACATTGCATATAAATCATAATATCGATTATTTCCGAGCAAAATTTAAAACTGTTAAAGACAGCCACTTAAAAATTGATTTGGGTCTAAATTAGGCCTAATCCTAATCCGGGACCGATTTACTTTTTCGTTTAGAGGTCCTCAGAGGCCAAAAACCCCCTTCGTTCAAAATCATATATATATATATATATACCTATATGATTTTTCAAGTTCAAAAATAGAATGTTCTTATGAATTTGTTCCACATAAAATAGATACAAAATCACGGGTTTGTTTGCACATTGAGTGGAATTGGGTGTTTTAAATGTCTGATAGCCTTAAGCCGTAATGTAATGTATCCAGTTGCCGTCATCGTGCGTTCGTTTAGTTGTGTCGGTGACGTACAAGAAGCCATGGGGCTTCGGGAAAAATAGAGCACCGATCAAGATTAATTTTTCCCTTGGGTTCACTAAATCGATGAAAATGTATGTGTTAGATTAAAAAAAATCCTCCAGGAATCTGCCCCACTGGGTCTCAAAGTGTCAATGTAATCCTTATGGAAGCAGTATTTGACACATAAACAAAGACAGTTGATCGGCAGTTGACTTAAATCACAGAAAACATATAGTAGTATGTTTTCTGTGCTTAAATTCAGTAAAATCAGGAAACGGCTGATAGAGTTCACGTAAGATTGAAATCGAACTCAACCACGTGTTTCAGGAGGTTTTAAGCTTAAAATGTAAATTTAAGTCTCTGAAAATAAATATAATTATTTAGCAGTGTTTTTTACTTTCTTTCACTGGAAACCATATGCAACTTTTTAAATCATTCCAATAATAACTATCCTTTCACGAATATTGTTTCAATTTAAATTTGTAGTTAAAAATTACAATGAAACTTAATGAAGAGGGTCAATGACTACGTGAAATAATGAACTGATAACTCCGCTCAATTTTGTGGACGCCTCTGTGAACACCACCTAGTTTAACATTGGTCTGTGGATGCCATGATGGTAAAGAAATAACAACGAAAATGTTAACAGCTGCTTTCACAAACCAGAAAACAGATTACAGATGGAATACGTTAGATCATTCGGATGGATGCAATTGATCAAACACTGATATTCTTCTTATGCTCTGATACGAGCAATGTCCGCTAAATAGAGTTTCTCATTAATCAATAGCAGGTATACATGAATCGGATGAAAATGAAATACAGTAATAGAAATCATTCATTCATTCAATATAAATATTGTTTACTTTCTCTACCTATACACGGAGAAAGTATTGTTTTCGTAAAAATTTTCGAGTTTGAGATTTGAGTGGATATATCCATTTTGGGTCCCCCTTAACCTAAAAAAGTGGTTTTCAAAGTGATGTCTGTGTGTGTGTCTGTATGTGTGGATGTGTAATAGACCATACATGTAGTCCGATTTTGATGAAATTCGGTATGTAGGTACTAATCCATAGTATCTGTGTGTGTCTTTTTTAATGGGGATTTCCCATAAAAAAAAACATAAAATAACGGAAAAATCAGATTTTCTCGAAAATGGCCCGAACGGTTTTGATAAAAATTTAGTATGATATAGTCCTTTAGATTCTGAACAAAATGGTACACATCCCATTTCCGTAAAAATTATGGTTCAAAAGTTATTGTAACTTATGTTATTTTCCCATTTAAAACTCCATAAAATTACAAAAAAATCGGATTTTGGAGAAAACTCCGATTTTTATTAAAATTAATGTGTTATGGTCCTTATAATTCCAAACAAAATAGTGCAACCCCCCATTACTGTAACAATTACGGTTCGAAAGTTATTGCAACTTTTGTGATTTTTTCCCTACAAAATTATCACAGTACCCATGATAAAGGTTGTTGACAACCTTAAGGAAGAAAGTATGTGTCAGATTAATGATACCGTTTATTTTTGATCGTGTTACTATTTTACCCTGGTCCCAATATTGTTCATTTAATAAGTTAAAAATGTCAAAATGATTGTAGAGACAAATAAATAAGTCGTACACAAGAGGGTTTTAGGAAAAATCGCTGCAGCTACCGGTGCTTATGATCATCGTCTAAAATGACTATTGCAAGTGAATGAGTGTCGAGACCTGAAGAAATATAGTTAAGATCAGTCTTATTCTTTTTCAGAAAATCTTTTTCTGAAACAGTGTAACAATCGGTTATAGTTGGCCCCACAACAGACGTTTGAATTGTGTAAGGCCGTGAGCCCGAAATCGTACATCAACACGTAAAACAGTTGATAGTTGAGTAACATAAAAATACTTCAATAAACAAAAGCAGGTTCTTGCACTGTCTCTTGCTCCACATTTTGTAGAACTGAGAACCACATTAGGTATGTCTCAAATTTTAGTCATGAAAAATTATTGCCACAAACCCTAAATGATCATCTTTATTATGTCATTTATTGCTTATAGAGTTACAGAATTATATTTGTAAAGTTTTCATTGGTTCAATAATCAAATCAGGTGATTTTTATATTATTTTATTTTTCTATCGGTTATTGAGTAATCTTTCCATCGTTGTTTAATCTTTCGATTTCCGATCATTCAACGATCGATTAAAAATCAATTAATTTGGTAGGTTGATGTAGCATATAGTAATTCTACTAAGTACTGTACTAATATATTGCGATTTCTTTTTATATATCTGAGTACAAAACAGTATCTTATAAAGTATGGATTCTTGAATTGGGTAGAATCAAAAATCAAGAATCAAGATTTGTAGCTGAATTGTGCACTGGTTAAACAAGATATTTATTAGACTTATTGTACGCTTAGACCAGCTGATTTAATTACATCTTTTTACAATACCTACCATTATTGTCTGGCAGTTGTCGATTAGACGAAGGAAAAATGTAACCTAAAAGATCTACTATTTGAGTGGTAGAGCACGAGGCATCTAAGGTACCGGGTTCAAATCTTGTCAATCACTATTGGCTTTAGTTATGTGATAATGCCGTGACCCTCTAAGCCTAAAGTAATACCGGTTCGCGAATAGAGCCTATCGTCCTAGGATATAAAGAAATTACATTTAAAAAGTCATTTGCGTGTTCTGTTGTTCAGCAAAGTATTCATTTTATTTGTCCTCTCAGTTAACAAACATTTGAGCGCGTGAGTGTGTAGGAATGCCGGGGGCCTTGTAGCCGACTACTTACCCCTACTACTGTACTGCAAACTACTGTGTGTGTATGTATGTGTGTGTGTACACGGCCACCTGCACTCTCTTAAATGAACAGTAAATTGTTATAAATACTTGAAAAAACAACAATAATGACGTTAAATAATGTTGATTGAATGAACATAAATTTTTAGTCCTCAATTTGAATTGTTATTTAGCTTTGAATATTTCTGTATTAGATTGTATCGATACATTTTAGCATGTAGGGATAAATGATGTCGGTATTAAACAACTTTGTTTCATTTTGCAATCTCATAAAAAAGGTATTCCAAACTTTTAAGTGATATCAAAGGCCTAATTCCCGTAAAACTGTGTTTATGAACACAATAAAAAATGCATTTTAATATATGAAATATAATTGTGCGTATGAAACGCATTTGACATAAAATTGTGTAGTTAGTTATCTACGCCTAATCAAGTTATGTTTTCGGACGAGAAACATAGCCTACAACATTCACAAATAGTTTACGGGCATAAACACACGTTTCGTTAAATAAAAAAAAACTGCAAAAGTGAATCACATTCATCTAATTTACTAATAAGTTACAAGCTGAACATGAACCAGTGAACACGGAAGGAAAGGTAAAGGAAGAAACCAATGACTCAGAATAACACGATTTTAAACAAACTTGTTGATTTCAAAAGACAAAATGTTAAATAAAATTTCAGAAATTACAAATACAAAGTACCCTGAACAAAAATATATTAGCTGGTCACATCGTATACCTAGCTTTACACAATCACATAAGTTATATAAACAATCGACGTGCTTAACTACTTTAAGAGATGATCTGTTTTTATTTTTGTTGTGTTTGTCAATAGCAAACTTTTTTGAAGAAAGTAAATATAATACTTTGTGTGAACCCGTTTTTATATAGCAAAGCTTGGAAGCAAATAAATGAAAGTTGTAATGAATCATAGCTAATTTTATGCGGATTGTGGGATTTACTTATCAAGAAAATGTCATTTCATTAAGCCTTTTGATCGCCATTCTTAATTCATCAGTTACATTATTAAGTATGGGTCAAAATTGAGTGAGTACTTCATTTACTTCAATGAAAAAGAATAAAGGATTTGTATAACAGCAGGATAATATACTGAGTTGCTTGTTTCGCTCTCAGAAATGTTCATACAACTAATGAGATTTTTCGTCGTGTCTTCGGACCACCTAGTAAAACTACCGCTGGACGCTGGAGCACAACACACACCAACATAAAACACACACAACAAACCACACACTACATCACATCACAGTGGTCGACCGACACCGACCTTCGCAGATGTTACGCGGAAACGAGCTGTTTCCTCCTCGGGTAAAATTAATTGGTGGATTAAACCATGTTTATTTCCCTTCGATTTAAAACTTGTTAAAACTCAGTACACCTATAACTAATCGATGAATTAAATACTTCAATGGTAAAACACACGAGCTTTTGTTCAAAAAAATTAAAATTCAAAGACGTGAGCAAAAAGATGTACTTCGAAAACGGAGAGATAAGCAATAAAACTGAGGCATCATCCTACCTTGCTGTTGCGATGTTCTTGTCGGGTCGGAGGTCACATCACTTGGTTACACCGTGAGGTAATCGCGATCACTAGCTATATGCGTGTTGTGTATGTGTATGTGTAATGTAACTGCAAGGTGGTACGCCCTCTGTGTCTGTGCTGTGTGCAGTGGAGTCGGATTTCACTGGAGTCTGTGATTCTGTCAGTCGCCGTCCGCCGCTGTACACTTCTTGGTTCTCGTGTCTCCGTCTCTCGTCGTCCCACAGACTACAGGCGTGTTGGTGTGGTGGAGTGGGGGGCTTCGCCCCGCGCCCACCTGCTCGCCGCCAAGGACAAAGTGTGACCTCAATTTTCACTCTAATTCTTTCACTCCGCTTCCCTAGGGACGGACGCTATGCACTTTATCGTATCAGAAGTCACATTACCAAGTAACCACGTGTGCATATGTCGTTTGACGTCTACAGATGATTGTCCGGTGTCCAATATTGCCAAAGGTTAGAGGTAAAGGTTTGTATAGTTCATGGTGATTTAGCGCCGTGTGACAGGTGGGGGCGCGGGGCCCAGACTTCTTGGAAAGGTCTACAAAGACATTACCGACGGTTCGCTAACTCATGCGATCGCTTCTTTCTTATTGAGTTGTGGACCAATCAAGCATTTTAACAACTAAGTCCACCTTTTCTGTTCACAATCCTGATAATTATAACATTCTATACAGGAGATAATTTCGAAATAATCTACTCAAAATCCTGATCGTGTCTATAAGGGAGACAATAAATAAATTATGAACTCACAATCTAGTCGTTTTAACTTCCAATAAGGATAGCATTGAAATAATCTACTCAAAACCTTTGGTAGACAATAGAGGCACATGTAGAGCAAGTTTCGTTAATTTAAAATGTGGATCAACGATGTAATCTACATCAATAGTATAATGTACGTAGAATAGTTATTATTTTATTTTCTGTAATTGTATGTTGTAGTTTTGTAATTAGTGTGAGAATTACTATTGAGAATTATAAGTCGGCAATGGTATAATATTCTAATTTCTTAAAAAACTATTATTATAAGCTGATAAAGGTTTTTTATAGTCACATGAAGATTAGTGTTCTTAGGTCTGTGCTACATTTATTACATTGATTACATTTTATAATAAAGGAAACCATCACTTATGTGAAATAAGCTAGTATAAGTTTAAAACATTTTCTGTATTATTATCGCGTTGCTCACCGAAAAAAGGTTTTGAGAAAAAAATAAACTATAGGCCTATTTGCTGTGCAGTTGTTCAGTTACGCTGTTGTTCCAGTACGTATACTGTAGTACAGTGCTCCGTGTCCTAGTATTCACGCTTCCGAATGTTCATTATAGGTGATTGAACAATAAGGAATTAAATACCCCGGCCGCAGCAAACCTGCAGACTAAGCGAATTTCCATTTGCCTGATTGGATTTACACTAAAATGTCTCCTTAAAAATATCACATGTATTCCCTATTTAAATAACATCAGTTTAACAAAGTACTTGTAGGTTTGCTGCAACAGGGAGGGTAAAAAGGTGTGTTTTGTCAAATGTTAATAGTTTAGTATGAAATGAATGCATTTTCGAAATTTGATCAAAATATGATCATAAACAAGCAAACTAAAGAGACAACTAAAGAGATAAGTAGTTTACTTATTCTCCATAAGAATAACAAGGGAATATTAAATTTATAGTTTTTTTGGAATTTTCCCCGTAACCATTAGGCGCATAATAACGCTTCAATATACTAAATTATTTGCTTTTTTAAGCTCTACAAAATGGTTTGGATAGAAAATGCTAAATTTTAAGTTTTTAGGGTCAAAATTGGAAAAACCAATTTTTGCCGCATAAACCCCTGTTCCCATAGTCCGATCATGCTGGTTCGCGAACTCGTTCGAATGAACGTAGGTTTACACGTTTGTACCAAATTTCATCAAAATCGGTTAATTTTTCTCGAGTTATCGCGCTAACGGACACATATATAAATAAATAAATATATATATATATTTGTTCTCAATGGAAATAAATTCATTCATTCATATATATAAATATATATATGAATTTGAACTGATGGTGTTTTTGGTCTCTAGGGACCTCAAAACGAAAAAGTAAATCGGTCCGGGGTCCAGGTCTTACCATGAGTACTACGGTAATAGCTTATTCTCTATAGGGGAAATTCGCTAAACATTTTTACTCAAACGAATTAATAAAAAAATCATTTTACCCTTTGACCAAAGTCCACTAGAAATAAAATTGGATAAATTGGCACTCATAAGGTTTTCTGTTACGAGGAACTCAAAATGGTGTTGCATTTAAAAGACTACAATCACATAAAGACATGTTATGAAGATGTTTCCATAAAACAGCAACCATACGAAGCATCAACTTATGACCACGGAATAGTATTAAAAAATTATGTTTTTATCCCCTGAGCTGTTTGACATAATGTAAGGCTAAATTACTTACGTAATCCCGTCACAGCGCAAAAAATATTGTCAAATTAGGACATCAGTGTAAAAACATCATCTTCAGCTTCAGGTACTTGTAGAGTTGATCATTTGTAAACATCGTCAAAAGTTGCACACATTATAGCACGAACAAACTTACGAAAAAGTACAAAAAGGAACATTGCAACATTAAAAACACAAGCCTGTTCTAACCAAAGTTGACTGACCACACAAACAGATTATTATTTATTATAGTATCTTTATGAGAAATGACGTTTTAAAAAGATTACTGATTCTAAAAAGGGCTAAACATGAAAAATTTTGATTAAAACACCACAATTAAAACATGTATGTTTAATTACCTTAATGTTACACTGCTATGAAGTGCATTTCATAAAGAAATCATTTGGGTTATCCAGAGTCAAATGTTTATTAAGCAGTTTAAGGAATCATGTCACTAATAGCTATTTGAAATTAGCCTATTTTGCATTTTTTGAGAGCATCATAAGATTTGGTATTGTGATTTGGGGTAATGGAGTAGGTATTGGTAAGGTGTTATTGATACAGAAAAAAGTCATTAGAATTGTTACTGGTGCCAAAAGATTAGACCATTGTAAATCTCTGTTCATAGAATCTAGTATATAAACTGTTGTAAATCTGTATATTTATGAAGTCTCCATTTTTGTGAAAAAGAACTCAAACAAACATGTTTTAAGAGGAAATGTCCATAGCCACTTAACTAGGAATAGAAATTTTATTGATGTAAGTAGAGTAAGACTGTCTAGATCTCAAAACTATCATACCCACTTGGGGATCAAAATATTTAACATGTATCCAGTTGATTTCCGTGCATTGCCCTTAAATGAATTTTCAAAAAACTGCTCTCTTGGTGTAAAGCTAATCCTATGTACAAGTTAAGTGATTTCATCAATTTACAATTTGTAAACAAAGATTTAAATTTTATAGTTGTTTATAAATAATGTTTCTATTGTTTAGATTGACGATGTCTATTGTAATTCTTGTGAATAATTAATGACTAATAAACTTGTCTATTGTCTTCAGTTAAAATTTTCTCAACCAACTACTAGTTTTTTTTTTTTTTTTTTTTTTTTTTTTAGTAGTCACTACTAGCATTTGTTTGACAGATGAAGTGTTAAGTGTTGACAGTAGACAGTACAAGCATAGATTAAAGGAGCATACACCATTTTACCTCATATTGATTGGATGGTCTTCAAATGGTCCAAAATAGTTTTATCCAAAAGTACAGGCAAAACCAGAAGTACAATTTTGCATTGTGGAGTAAACTTGTGAAATATACTGTACATTTCACGGTGTACCATTCGACCAAGTCGTTTTATCCAACACTTTTTTTTAAGAGGTTGGCGGCCTCTTTTAACCTTGCATTGGCCCGTCCACATAGCCCTGCGTCCACATAGAAGTTCGTTGCATAGAAGCGCCCGTGCGTACGAGTTTTAATACGAGTTCGTATATAAACCTAACCCTAGAGTCTCCACTCAATGGGGCATAGCATTACCCGTGCAGCGCCAGGCTGAGCAGCGTCAGCGGCCCGAACTACGCGACCTTCGGCAATGCAGTACATCAAGTTGCTAGTGCGCTCTACCGGTAACCATGCAAGACGCAACAATGACGCAGCTCATCCCGCTGCTGCGGGCATCGCTGTCGGCTTTGCTAATAATTCAAGCGTGCTCCTTGCGAAACCAACATGGTTTAAAAAAATTACTTCTATATATGATGGCATTGAGTATAAACCTAACATGATGGTAAACATTTTATTCTGAACTACTCGTATAGAGTAATTTATTTTATAATGCGTAAGATTTTTACACTTTACATGAATGTACCTATGTTGTAAGATTGGACATTACTTATTTACGCCTCTGAGAAAGTCTGTAAGCATGCTATTGCTGTAAAATTCCATAATAAACCTTTTTGAAAATACATGAAAATTTTTGAACATTTTGAACATTTCCCTTTGAGTTAGCGAATCAAACCAATTAAAATATAATATATAGTTAATATTTCTATTTGATTGATATATGTTATGAAATTATTTATTTCCGCCATGTTTCAAAGTTCAAATAAAGCTTTCACACTTTTCATGTGTCATTTCAAATTCGAATATCTGTATTCTGCTTAGAAACAAATTCAGATAGTTACAATATCCTAACTTTACTCTTTTACCCTTTTACTATAATCGACGACAATGTATTAATTTACTGAAAATATTTATTGTCAATGTCATGTAAAATAGAATCAACAAACGTAGGCATAATAAAAAAATACCCCTCAATAATAACTAACCAACAGTGTATTTAATCCATGTCGTAAATTTTTTCTATAGGCCTACTGTTCATACACATGTATGTATTTTTAAACTACTAATTTAAAATGTGTATGGACCAATGACATTTTTCCAACATGTACTTTTTGTTAGGTACCGTGCTACTTTTTGAAACACACTTAATACTTAAACTACACTTTCTCCAAACGTCACAGGTCGCAGGCAGTGTGGCACTACTTGACAACTTAACACACCCTCTTGGATGGTTTTTGTGTCATAAAATGGTTTTTCTGCCTATGGGTGCGCCTTTTATAACCCTAAGCCCTCCCTCCGAACTAGGAACTAGTCAACTAGTCAGTATTTTGAGAAGTGGCATTGAGAACAGTCGTTGTCTTTCGGGTGTAGGCTTTCTGCCCATACGATAATCCTATTAGTGACGCTCGGCTGACCTGTCAGCGCTACCCGTCCCTGCGTTGGGGT